TAATAGGCGGGACTCGTTGTTTGTTAAAAAGCAGGGATTTGCAGGTTAAAAAGCACATTCACATCATTTCTCTCATTTTGTGTTCACAGAAACCCTTTTTTGAAAGGGAGACGCATTATTATTATTAATATTATTAGTTATATTACAGTTGGGAACATTGGGGCTCAGGGAAATAGAATGCTCTGTTATCAAGTGGTTCCCAAATCCTATTGCCAAGTGGCAGGGCCATGACTCAACCCAACTCTTTTGGTTCCTAGGCAAATATTCTTGCTGTGTTTGCGTGGTTGTTGGTAGCAATTTTGTGACACCAAGTTGATTCTGACTCATGCATAGTGATCCTGTATAGGGTTTCTGAAGTTGTAAATCTTTATGGGCGCAGAAAGCCTTATCTTTCTCCCACAGAGTGACTGGTATATTTGAACCACTGACCTTGCAGTTAGCAGGCCAGCTCGTAATCCACTATGCTGCTAGGGCTCCTCGCTGACATTTTGTCCTGTTTCATTTCAAACTCACATTGATGCTGCTGTGTGAGAAAAGAGGGAAAAAGATCTTTTTTGTGAAAGTGGACCATAGATTTTTGTTGTTGTCAAGTGCCATTGAGTTGGTTCTGACCCACAGAAGACCTTGTGGTTCAAACTGACCTTATGGTCCAGCGCATTATCTTGCAGTGCCGTGCCAGGACAGCAGGGCCTTAGGTGAATGACTGCTTTTATGATATAATGTAGTAATGATGGCAACAATCCATGCCTTTATTACCATCATTTTAATCTTTGTTAGGGGGTAGGTGTTTGTTATATATCCAGGAATTGTCTTGTAAAAATCAGTTGCTAGAGTATTGAGCAGTAGAATGAGATTTTATATCTGTTTAATAATAATTAGCTGAAGTCTATGTGATATATAATATGTTAGACCAGTATCTCCCAGTGTATGTTCTACAAACAACCCTGGCATGAAGTAACAATGGTTGTTAATTGGAAGGAGAAAAACAAAATAAAATAATAAAACCCAAGAATTCAGTGATCAAGAAAGTTATCCAAGTGCGACATTTAATTAATTAGACAGGTGCCCGCAAGACTTTCATTTACATTATGAATCTTTATGACTAGGCTGTGGATTGTACACTTCCTCAAACATCTTTTTGCACACAGAACACTTTGTTTTTCCTGGAAAATCTGTTTACATCTTGAAGAGCTAGTGTCCATGGAACAATCAGCTCAGCTTTGTAGCACTTAACCACCACTGCAATCGTATATTATATAATTCTTCATATCCATCTTCCCCTCATGCCTGGAAATTTCATGAAGCCAAAAGCTCTGTCCCTTTTTTTTTTTTTTTTAATCTCTGCCTTGCACTTTACATGTTGGCTGAGATCTGGGTCCTTAAAAATATTTGTCAATGAATGAATGAACTATTCTACATCAAAAACCACACATGCTTCCCTATCAAAAAACTTTATTTTTTAAGGTCCTTTATAGTGTGTCATTTTGTCATTGAGTGTTGCTGTGGTGCTTGAAGCTATAGGTTTCAGTGGGACTTGCAAACTAGGAAGGCCTTGACAAATTACTTCCAAACAAACTGGCTGGTAGAAACCTTATAAGTAACTGGGGAACATTATCTGTTATCATGCCAGAAAATGAGCCCCTTAGATCAGAAGGCACTCAAAGTACAACTGGGGAAGAGCTGCCTCCACAAAGTAGATGAAGTAAAGTTTTTAAGACTTTCATTTACTAATTGAACACAACTTAAACTGAGAAAGAGCAGCTGCAAACATCCATTAGTAATTGGGATGTGGAATGTACAAAGTAGGAATCTAGGAAAATTGGAAGTTGTAAAAAATGAAACGGAATATATAAAGGTTGATACCCTATGCAAAGTCTGTTGGTTTCCTCAGGATTGCACCGATAATCATCAGCACCCTCAGTATTGGTGACCCAGTCTCCATCCACCTCTCCACTTAGGAGCTGATGCTAAGATAACAGGTATTAATAGAAGGTATTCAATTAATGTTGGCTGAAAGTGTTAAGGTGTTTACAAACGTGACTTTAATGCTTATTTAGGATTATGCTGATGAATCTAGTATGTGTTTTTTAAAGTTGAGGAAAATTGGTGCTATTGTCTATTCTCCATGTCTTTAAATGTATATGAGATCAAACTTCATCTTTCACTGATAAGCTAGGGAACATGACTTAATTGCCTGCCGACCACCATGTCACCTGTGTAGATTATAGACATTTCTTCACTCTTCACTCTCCCTTTCACACTTTCACATCCCCAGAATTCCAATCTGCTCACTTCCATGTTCTTCCAAGTCTGGCTGTTAATTAAAGAGGCCAACTGTTATACTTGCCAGACTTGGAGGGACATAGAAGTGATATGACTGCAATTCTGGGGAAGTGGAAATGTGAAAGGGAGAATGAAGAGTGAGGGAGTGACTATAACCTACACATGGTGGTTGGCAAGCCTTTCTTCATCTGGTTGTCCTATACCCAAGTCCCTTCCCATTCGCTGGCTTAGGTGTATTATTTGGATTTTTCCTTTCACTAACTATGAAGGAAAATGGCCATGTGCCTGACATGTAGTAGGCCCTTAGTACATTTATGATAGTTGATTGCTCTTTGATTGATTTGGACAGTGTCAAACTGGAAGAGATGGCCCATGGGGTTCACTTTGTGTATTTCTGAGATTCTAAGTGCCATGGCAAGCTTACAATTTGCGGATGAGTTTGGTCTTAGTGTTTTGGAAAATAATTGTAGGCATCTAGTTAGACATCCAAGCTAAAAGAGAAACCAGTTTAATCATAGAAATCTGCCTCATCTTCTTCTTTTTTTTAGTTTTCATTGTGAATTGAGTGATAGTTTACATGAGAGTACATCGGTTTTACACACATTTTTCATTGCAATGATTACAATATCTTCCCTGCATCATCATTCAGCAGTATTTGCTTCTATTCCCTCTGTTTTTTTCTGTTTGTTTGTGGGAGTTTTATGTGTGTGTGTGGGGGGGGGGACGTACACAAAAACACTCCAGGAATATATGATAATTTAAACAACCATAGGGCACATTCTGTAAGCCTGCCTCCTGACCTCTAGCACTCAGTCTTTCTCTTTCCACAAGTCTAGAGTCCTTATCTGCTGTCTCTCCACGTCATCATCTCTGCCTCTATCTCTGGTGTCATTACATCTCTGGATAGGGTCCCACATTCTGCTTGGCTCTTCTCCCTTGATGATCCTAGGGTCCTCTGTTCCTGGAATGTAAGATTAACTACACCCCCTTTCTTGTTACAAAATATCAACTTTTACAGTTGTGGCAGTCACAATTAGTCATGGTAATAATTACACACAATTGAACCAACTCGATGGCACTTAAACAACAATAAATTGATTCATAAGAATCTTATCCCCATCTCATTTCACCAGACCAGTCTAGACAAGATGAAAACTATTCAGTGGGGACTCTACCTTTCCCTGCACACTCATAAACTAAACTCCTTCTTGAAAACTTGTAATCCAGTCACTTTGTGCCTTTATAGCCTCCCTCTCCCTTTTTATGTATCTAATGTTTTAGTTGCCCATCCCTATCAACTCTATATACAGAGGGGATAGGATTGCTTTTGGATGTGAGGACTCCTTCCATCTCAGTTGGTATTTTGAGCTACTACATCCATTAATGAACTACAAGTTCATTAAATTGTAGCAACTTACACTTGTTTCCTCAATCAAAAAGTGTTTTGGTTTTTTTTAATCTTCCTCTAGTCGAGTTCTGATCATTAAGCCATCGAGGCTAGGTCAAGTGGGTACTATCTGCAAGGTTGGGTGTTCTTGTGCTTCTCCCCTCACTTCATATCAACTGGACGCTTCACTCTCAGCTCTAGTCCTCTGTGGCTATGGCCTTGGCCATGGGCTCAGGTGTCCCCAGGTCTCACCACACTTTGGACCAACCAGCCCTTCCTCTTCTCTCTCTCATCTCCAAGTCAATGGGCATCTATGGAACGTGGTTGAACTCACTCCGTATCTTCATTGTTACCTTTCCCCCTCTTCCACTCATCAGTAGACCAACTTGGTCATCAGCAAACTTACATGCCTGCTCATGTGTTCCCTTTGAGTTTTGGTCTTGGAGGGGGGGTTTGCCCTTAAGGGCTGCCTTATCTTTTTATGTGATAAAATGTATATAACAAAAATTTGAGTTTCACTTTAAGTGACATTCTAAGTGTACAGTTCAGTGTCGTTGATTACATTAATCATGTTGTGCTACCAAAATCACTGTTTCCTAATGTTTTCCATCACCTCAAACAGAAACTCAGTGCCTCTGAAGCAATACCTCCCCACTCACCCAGACCATAGTAATCATCAATAAACATTGATTTCTATACATTTGCCTATTCTGGATATTTCCTTTAAGTGGGTTTATGCAATAGTTGTCCTTTCATGACAGACTTATTTCTTAGCATAATTTTTCAAGGTTCATCCATGTAGTAACATGTATCTGAATTCCATTTGTCTTTATTACTGAATAATATTCTGTTGCATGTATATAGCATGTTCTGTTTACCCATTCATGGACACTTGCATTATTTCTACCTTGTGACTATTGTGAATAAACCTGCCCTGAAGATTGGTGTACATGTATCTGTTTGTGTTCTTGCTTTCAAGTGTTTTGTGTATGGACCTATAAAACTGTAAATTTGTGAGTGATATACAAAAAACCCTGAGGGTCAAAAGGGCCTTCGAGATAATGAAGTCAAACTTCCTCTTTGGAAAACTGAGGGCTCACAGAAAATCAGTGATGGACTAGTCCCTCTCTTTCTTTATCTTCCATGTAATCTTTTCTGCTTCATTAAACTATAACATTGGCCATTTGCAGATGATCATTGCTTTGTATTTAATAGGAAATAATTGATAGCTGGATGGTCTTTATAATCCCCCCCCCACCTCTGTAGCAGAGCCAGCTTCTCTAATAATAGGTAGTTTGTGTTTAATTGGTTTTGTTTTGTTTTGTTTTAGGTGAACCTTCCCAGTGATCCGAGCTGTGTTGAGGAAATCTTACGGGTGAGTTTTAACCTTTCTTTCTGTACCTTTTAATAATGAAGCAATCAATCTGCTTAAGCTATTTCAAGTAATTTTTCTGTTTCAAGGAGGATTATGATGGAGACCCTTTGACTTCTATCACTTGTGTCCTTTCTCATCTATCACTTGTGTCCCTATCCTTAACCAAGATGGTCTACTGATCTCACTAAGTTTCTCTCCCATTCCTTCAGGTCTAACTTTTATGTCTTGGACAGAGAACTCATTACTTCCTGTAGGAAAGTGATTCCCTATTCAAGCATTGTTGTTGTTGTTGTTGTTGTTGTTAAGTGCCGTCGATTCGTTTCCGACCCATAGCGACCCTGTACAGGGTTTCCGAGGCTGTAAATCTTTACCGGAGCAGAACGCTTCATCTTTCTCCCGCAGAGCGGCTGGTAGTTTCGAACTGCTGGCCTTAAGGTTCACAGCCCGATTCGTAACCACTACGCTACCAGAGCTCCTTATATTCAATCAAGCACTGTGGACTACCTTAAATTGTGGCCTTTCTGTTTTCTGGGGTCTCAACTCAAGTCCACTACTAACTTTCTTGTACATTGTTGATGAGACCTGACTATGGAGTCTGTGACCTACAATGAGGGGGTGTTGTGGGAAATGTCACTAGTGGGAGTGAATGTATGCCTTGGGAGCGGAGTGGCATGGAGGCAGAAACCAAGTTGAAAAGGGTTGCTAGATCCTATCACAAAGTAAACAGTTAATCCATATTGGAAAACCAGAGCAAAGGCCCCTCCCCCTCAAAACAAATATCTCTCTTTGGCTGTTAGCATTATAAGATCATATGAGTTATCAGGAGACTTGAGTTCCAGTCCTAGCTCTTATCATTTGTCACCTCTGTGAATTAGGACAGATTTTTGTGAATCTCCCTTCTTCATCAGTGATGTTGTTACGTGTCACCTGATCTGTTTCAACTCATAGTGACCCTGTATAGGGTTTCCAAGAAGCAGCTGGTGGGTTTGAACTGCCAACCTTGTGGTTCTCAGTCCAATGCTGATCCTATAGCGCCACACTAGGAGTCCTCGTCTCTAATTGTTGTTAAGTAAGGAGCTCTGGTAGCGTAGTGGTTACGAATCGGGCTGCGAACCTTAAGGTCAGCGGTTCGAAACTACCAGCCGCTCCGCGGGAGAAAGATGAGGCTTTCTACTCCCGTAAGGATTTACACCCTCGGAAACCCTGTACAGGGTCGCTATGGGTCGGGACCGACTCGACGGCACTTAACAACAACAACAACAACACCATTGAGTTGGTTCTGACTCATAGTGACTCTGTAGAGGGTTTCTAAGGAGTCACTGGTGAATTAGAAACAACCTTGCAGTCCAGTACTTATCCTACAGCTCCATACTAGGCCTCCATCTATGATTGTTATTGTTGTTAAGTGTCATTGAGTTGGGGCTGATTCATAGCGACCTATAATAGGAGGGCCGTAATACGTGGCAAGGGTGGTGAGACTTTGTCTTTCATACTCTGACATGTTCTCAGGAGGGACGAGTCCCTGGAGAAGGATATCATGCTTGGTAATGTAGAGGGTTAGCTAAAAAGAGGGAGACCCCAAATGAGATGGATTGACACGGTGACAGCAGCAATGGGCTCAAACGTAACAACTGTTAAGATGGTACAGGACCGACTGGGCAGTATTTCTATTATGTTCATGGGGTCGTGATGAGTTAGAACAGTTTCCCTGTAAATGCTTATTATCATGATCAATGATTAGCGATTATTGGTGCAACCCTCAGGAAACCAACAGACTTTTAGTGTGGATACCGTCTGTTCTCAGTTTCCACAGTCATCCCTACCTCCTCCTCCTCCTCTCCCTACTAAATGCCTTCTTAAACTCATTGTTGACAAGTCGATTCCAACTGATGGTAATCCCATGTGTGTCGATGTAGAACTATAGCGTTTTCAATGACTGTGATATTTTGGAAGTAGATCACCAGGTCTTTCTTCCAAGGCTCCTCTGGGAAATTCCAACCACCAACCTTTCAGTTTTCAGACAAGTGCTTAACCATTTGTATAATCCAGGGACTCTGAGTGCCTTCTTAAAAACCCAAATCCATTTCATGGTGATTGTGACTCATAGTGATACAGTAGGACAGAGTAGAACTGTCCAATATGGTTTCCAAGGCTGTAAAGCTTTATGGAAGCAGACTGCCCCTTTCTTTTTCCACATGGCGACTGGTGGCTTCCAACCACCAACCTTTGGGACTAGCACCTGTGCACGGAATCACTGTTATCAGGGCTCCTTAGTGCCTTCTTGACAGCCCAGTATTCAGCTGTAGGCCCTGTGAAAATGCAGACAAAGGAGTCTGAAATATCTGAAAGCTTTTTAACATCTAGTTGGCCTGTCACCAGATTTTCCCCTGCTGAGGTTATTCATGCACCTGTTTCAGGTCAGGAACATTATTGTCAATTTGCAGAGATGAATCATATCATGCTGATCAGGGTTGATGATATAAGAGTTAGGGCTATGCTGGGTATTGGTGGAAGGGAAGGGATGAAGGGGTGGCTGTTGTTAAATCCACAAGTCTGATACACCCTGGAGATCTCATCTGCTTTCTTCCATTGGTGAGAGATGAGTAAAATGTACCAAATCCTTAGTGGACTGTAACACTGAACATGGTCTAGTCTAGACTATACTCTTGTTTTCCTCTGTTCTCCCTGGGGTCACAAGCATAAGTGGCTTCAATGGTCTTTTTTCCCCCAAAGGAATTCTAAACACATCTCAGAATTGCCACTAATTTGTCCCAGTTGGAATTCTTTCCTTCAAAGCAACCTAGCCTCATGCCTAGGTGGCTCACGTGGTGACATAGTGAGGGGAACAGTGCAAACACCTGGTAACTCCAGTCTGCTTGAGGAGCCACTAGAAAAACAACATCATGTCACTTTAACAGAGAAAGAAAGGAGTCATTTGCTGTAATAAGCTCTTAAAAGATAGCAGCACCCTTTGAAAGAGAATCTAGCAGAGTGTCTTCTTTCTTTTTTCTTCTCAAGGAATATAGATTCTACAGAATTCCTTTATTTATTTATTTATTTATTTTGGCAACAACACCATTAATGTGTGGGCTTTCCTTAATTGAAGAATTAAAACGTTTCATTTGCCATGCTGAGAATAGAAATACTGATAAGTCTTTTGAAGTTGATGTCCCAGATTTGACGGATGATTCTTAAAAATGTAAAGACCTTATCATATGTCACAACAGAAGGTACTTTGGGACTTCTCTGTTATTGCACCCTCAGGTTCTTATTACTCAGGGCCTTGAGCCCCACTGTAAGTCGGTTTGGGGCCTTGTCTCCCATCTGCCACCTTCTTTGGGGACAAGTACCTTGTCTCTGTGTCTCCACTTCTCTCTGACTTGCTCAGTGCTTTTCAAATCAAGTAACTTCAAAAGCCAGGTAATTCTTGTTGCCCACATTGAAGCCGCGCTTTTCAGAAGTAGGAAGAGTGGCCTTATGACTTTTCAGGTGAGTCCATTACTTTCCATCTGTGTGGCTTCGCAGTCATTCCATCCAGGAAATCGAACAGCAAACAAAGAACAGACCAACAAACAGAAAACAACGGTTGCTATTGAATTGATTCTGAATCATGCTGACCTCATGTGTGTCAGATTAGAAGTTCAACTGAAAGCCAACCTCACTGCCATGGAAGGCAGGGGCTAACTACTCCCCCCTCTACCACTCTTCACCTCCAGTGCCAGAATCTTGAAACTGGACCCACTCTGCTTGCTCCTCAACTTTCTGCTCCCATTGGACCCCTCTTTTACCTTTCACAACATCCAAAGACACACAAATCTACACTACAGCAGCCTCACAATGGGACAGCCATGGATACGCAAGTACAGCACAACACAACTGACCTCTCCCCACTGGAAGCCAGCCCTCTAAGGCTCCCAGGCAATGGAAATAGTTTTTCTGAATGCATTTTTTTTTTTTTTTACTCCCTTTCTAAAATGGTGTTCACATTCAAACCAATTGACTTACTTTTAAAGCACCTCACACCATTTCTCTACCAACTTCTACTGCTCTTGTTTTGTTCTCCTGGTCTCCCAGTAGATCATAGCCCACCTTCTCTGGACTTCTAGTATTTCTTCTTGCCTGCACATCCTTCTAGGTGCAATCACATTACGACAGGCAGATTGGAACTGGTATGACAACCTCATTTTGCTATAGCAAGTGACTCCTGAAAGCTCTTGCACCTCATTATCGTATTTTGATCACAGGAAATAAGGTCTGATTGACTAGTCCCATTTTATAGGTCAGGAAATTGAGGCCCAGAAATGTTCAGTGACATGCAATTAGAGGTAGAGCTAGTATGTGGCAGAAATAAAAGCTGGTCTTCTCTCTAAGTCTCATGAGTTTTGCATTGCACCCAGCTCTCCACTACCTATCACAAGTCTGAAGTGAGGATTCCTGGGTTAAAATAAAATGTTTGCTCCAGACAGTTACTGATTTATTTTAGCAACTTCAAAAATACCAAGAAACCAACATAATTTGAGATATTGAGAGTTTTTGTTGTTTTTTTTCCCTTCTCTTTATGCCATTCTTTAATATATGCAACTCTCATTTCAAAAGTCAAAAATCTCATTGTGACTAACTGCAATAACCAAAAAATAAATAATAATAATAATAAAATGAAAAAATAACAATGACTAGTAAAGGAAAGGACTCCTGGTATGGCGCTGTAGGATCAACACGGGACTTCAAACCACAGGGTCATCAGTGTAATCTTTCAACTGCTCCTTAGAATCCTAAACAAGGTTGCTATGAGTCAGAACCAACAGGACTACACTTAGCACCACCACCACCACCAATAACAGTAAAGGAAGTAATAGTAACATGCCACTTAATATATGCCAGGTATGGTAGGTACACATGTTATGGCATGTAATCCCAACTATTGAAGATTGTACAACTTGCTGCATTTTACAGGTAGGGAAAGGATGAGAGCCAGGGAGATTGGGTGGGGACTTTTCCCA